ACATAGCATACTAGCATTTTTGTGCCTGACTGCCGCTGTTCTTGATCAATCCTAGTTACAATTTTTTTTTTTTTTTTTTACTGTGTCCCTCTGGTGAAGATAGCAGTTAGAAACAGGTAGGCATATGCCTCTGCCAAAATGAAAAAAAATGTAAGCCTTTTAATAAATCTGAATGTTGAGGGCATATGGGCTTCAGATGGTTATTGTTTAGAAAGTGAGATAAGGAAAGGCAAGCTCAGCAGTGCTGGAAGAGCAGGGGGACGTGGTTCTGGAGAAGGCGGCTGGGTCTGTGACCATCAGCGTCTGTACCCAACCTCCACTTGAAGTAATTGGAAACATCCTTCCCTTCTCCGTGGGCTCATCTCCCGCAGCTGGAGTCTCTGCCCCCTTGCAGCCTGGTCCTGCCAGCTGCAGAATGCCGCTGGCCCTGCTCTTCCCTGCCGCCTTCTGGATGGGAGTAGAGCCCTGCTGAAGAAACGCTGCCTGGTCCACACTCACGCTGTGTCGGGGCAGCTCCGGAGCATAGGAGGGCACTTCCCATACAGGGAACCCGTGCATCATTGCTTTGAGCATCACTGTGCGGGCATTAGAGGTTGATAGTCAGGGAATTAACTGAAAGCTTTGGAGTTGTGGGCAGAGAAAATAAATTTGTCTGGTTTTTATTTTTTCTTTGTTTAAAATGAACTTAGTTGTCCTTTTGAATAAGGTCAATTTTATCAAAAACACCTGCTGCCACTACCAGTTTCTCTGCTCTGAGAATATTCTCCAGGACCTTTAAAATACGCTTGGGTAAAGAACTGACCTAAGATGCAGTCTTTCCAAGAGGAATAACTGTGGGCTTTTTGATCTAAGCCAGGCAAATAATAAAGAATAGACTAAAGACTTCAAAACTAGAATAAAATACATATTTCTAAGGATTTTTTGAGAGAAAGTTTAAAAATAAAAATGTTCCAACCATAGATGATGGTGTGGCTGATAGACAGAAGGAAAAGCAGAGGTGCGGTCTAAGTGTGTCCAGATGGGAATAACACATAGTAGGGAGTGTGAAGGTGACAGCGGCCAGAAGAGGACCTGTGCACCTTTCCCAAAGGGAGGTCAGGAGGATGTCTCCTCGCCAGAAAGTTGCTAGTAGGGAGGAATCGCACCAAGAGCTTAAACCAGTCCCATAAGGAAACACGGGTCCTAGGGGCAGTCAGCTACAAGCCGAGGAAATGGGACAGCAGGAGATCGGATGTTGTGTTGGTTTGGGATACTTGTGTAGACTTGGACTTGTCTTGGACCCTCTTTAGCTCATCTTTTGGAGCTTAAACCCAGCCTTTCCTCCCAGAGAGCTCTGACTGAGGGAGATGTGATAGTTTCTTAACACTGTCAAATGTTTATCAAAAAAGCAGTAAATTCATCAGCAAAACCAAGGGAAGCATTGAGCAAGAGTGAGGGTAATAACTAAGTTTAATTTGAGCTTGGCTATTAAAGAAAAGGACAATTTTAAATATGAGGCTGGCTAGGTTAGGGTATTGCAGGGATCAAGTGAAACCATTCTCCCGGCTGAGGAAGCAGGGCGACATGAAGCTGAGAGACATGGGGTGGTGGTAAAAGATCTGTCCCTGAGGCCCTCTAACTTCTGCTGCTTATGTCTCAGCTGGATCATTCTCAGCTGTTCGTGTGTGTTTGGATTTACAAAGACTTGGAAATAAAGGATCCAAACCTGCTTGGTCTCAAGTGCAGGCTGGGCTGACACAAATATATCCATCCAGAAGTTGGGAGATGGCATTTGGAGACTGGGATGTGGGATTAGAGGACAGAAGAAATCTCCATAGCTGATGTAGTAGATGATCTTACAACTGAGTTAGAATTCATTACACCCAATAACAGTATAAGCAACATCAGGGATTATAACTTTAGTCTGCAGAAAATCACCTTAGCAATGGTGGAATGAGTGGTTTGTGAACGATCGATGTGTAACAAACAAGCTATTCTCCCCTCCGAGTGCGAATACTGTTGAGCAGCTGTGTGCAGGTTCAACTTTCCAGTGGAGAAAGCTGGAAAAGACTGGGGCAGCCTTAAGGCATAGACTCACATCTGATGCTGACTAAATGCAGATGGCTTAAGTGATTCCTGTCTTTAGTTTGCCTCTCTCTCAAAGGCTGCTGTTGCTGCAGCGGTGCTGGCTGAATGATATATGAAATATGTGTGTTTACATTTATGAGCCAAACTGTAAAAATGTGTTTGGGAGCAGAGTCACATAAGCCAACACTTGTAGCTGCTAAAATTCTTGTGGCTGGGAAGTACGAGCAGAGCATTCCTTGTTTGCTGGATGCAGCTGAGGAGCAGTAAGTAGTAAAAACAACCGTGATTCAAAATGGGCAGCAAAAAAGTTCAAAGTTTTGTTTATTTGGGCTTTCCATATTGAAAACCCGTTAAATTGGATCAGGTAGAAAAAAGCATTCCACTAATTGCAAGAGCGTGGTTTTGCATGGCTAGAAATGGTGGGGGGGGTTCATGACCGTTCCTGTCCTTTGCCAACCTGTGAAAATTTTCATCTTAGGCATGGATGCCAATGCTGACAATTTTGGGGCATTATTGACAAAATTATTTGGAGCAAGGGTTAGTTTTTCAGAGCAGCAGTCTGAGCCATTGTAGAGGGGGAAAAAAACCCCATCAATACAGAAGAGCTAGAAGAAGTTAAAATTATGGACTATTTGGAGGAACTTTGGGATTAGCTCTGGGTCTAGGTTCTGACGTCTTGACGCCAACTTGGCAAACACAACTGCTGTAGTGTGATTTTGCAATTTTGCTGAGGCCTGGACGGGAGGGCGTTAGTCCTGTTCCCACAGGCACAGAAGAACCTTGTTGGAAGTCGGATTGCAAACAGCAGGGATTAGCTTCTCCAGCGTTATCAGGAATCTATGGTCATTTTGTCCTCATATGTCGCAGAAGTGCAAGTATTAGTGGTTCATCCACAGCTGGATAAAGGAGTAGGGACAGTCAGTGTAGTCTCGCAGGAGGGGACTACAGAACAGCTGAATGCTTCTCAGAGAGTGGATTTTCATACTGGGATATTAGGTAATTGGAAAATCATATGGCAGGGTGAAGAAAACGTAGCATCTCCACGTCATCCCTGAGGAAAGGTCTTCTGGACCCAGAAGAATTTGGCATTCTGAGTAAAATACTCCTCTGCTGGTGAGAGGACCTGATGGGTGATGGATTCAGGTATTAGCTGATGATAGCAGATATCCAAGATGTTTCCAGTACTCAGTGATGACCATATGGCTGCTGTGCTCTTCACAAAAACCTTGGCTGAAGGAAAGGAGGGTTTCTATGGATATAATCAGAACGCAGCAGGAACCATCATCAGCATTTCGGTTCCAGGCACTGATGCGTTGCAGAAGACAGTCATGAGAGCTAAGCTGTTGTGCGGCATGGGAGAGTGTTCATCAGCATGCGTGTGGCTCCTTGCATCAGCCAGAAAGCAGCTGTGAACTGTTACATGGACAAATTTGAGGTTTGCTCACTAAAATATCAAGAGGCTTTGGCCATAGTGTAGTTTCCAGTTAATGAGCCTTTAACCTGATGGGTGAAATGGGATCCTAGGAAGGGAACTGCAAGCAGCATGGTGATACTGATCAACAGCTGACAGAAAACATGAGGTAGCTGAACACTTCTTACATTGGGCTTTAAATAAAGACTCAACCTGATGGTTAAGTAGAGCTCCTGACAAGGCACAGAGGAAAGTCTAGAAACCCCGCAATGCAGAATAGAGGGGGAAAAATGTGTCCTTTTGTAAGAACAAATATAACTTGATCTCTAGTAAATGAGAAGATGGTCTCAGATGATCAATTGTATGTTTGAAAGCAAATGTTTACAAGAAGCTGTCTGCTTTGGTTCCACTGTCCCACAAGGATGGAAAGCTAAAGTCTGATAAACCTAGTGGGTTTAGTAGTTTTGTTTTGGTACGTTCACTCTTCAGAAATTGTACATTGTACTGCTAACCTGTCAGGAAAAGTTACTTTTGGAAAAAAAAAAGTGATGGTATGTACATTTTTACAGCCAATGAAAATTCTGCATTGTCTAAAAAACCACATTGCTCCTTGAGCAGTGGGTCACTGAAGCCTGGTTTCTGGAGGCATCCGTTCTCTTCAAATCCTCTCCTCCCTCCCCTGGAAAGCGGGCTGCCCTCCTCTCCCTTATTACCCCTTCCCCACTCCCTCCCCTCTGCCTCTCTCCTGATTTTATTTTTTTTCCCCAAGAACTCATTGTTCTTAACTGCGCGAATCAAAGCAGCGACTTAGGGCCAGTCCCCAGCAAGGCTGAGCTGAGGCAGTGATGGGTCGCCCTCTTTCTGCTGCACTGTCCCGCTGGCCTGGGCACCCATCACACCTGCGGCAAACTCCTCCCCCCGCCCCCCGGTTTTCTGCCAATTTACTAATTATTTTAAATAATGAGTTTATAATCTGATGAGGAAAAATTCGGGATTGGTCTTTCGGAGAGAGTACGGGAAGGTTAATTGTGTTTAGTGGAAGCAACAAATCAAAAATCACATCCCTCAGTTCCAGTTCATAGTTCTTCCTCACCGTACAGAGAGTAGTGTATGTTATTAATATTATAGGTAATTTTACCTGGTTTTGCATCTCTATGTCTTCATCCAAGAAAAAAAACTTAAAGAAACACTTAGCTTTAAGGATACGAATAGCTGAAATTCTGAAAAGAGGGAACAAGGTCAAACTAATGGAGGGTCACAATAATCCTGACAATTTGATGTATTTTCTTTTCTTACTGCTTTTCCTATTTATGCTGAGTTGGTTTGCTTAACGTAGCTACTTGGTATGCTCAGGTTGCCAGAAGACAAAAGCTCTGACAACTCTGCTTCGTGGCTTGGTTTGGTTACTGGCTTAGTGTTTGGTCCATTATTTAAAACTAACAAACAAACAAACAAACAAAGCCACTAAAAAGAGTTAAATATTTGCTGATGTGTTTCCTGCCTTCCATTCGCTGTGTTTCAGAAAATCTTCAGAAGAACTGGACATGGATAAAGTAACAGCAGCCATGGTACTCACCAGTTTATCCACCAGCCCTTTGGTCCGCAGCCCTCCTGTCCGACCCAACGGTAAGCCTTCGGAGCAGCTCCTGGGCAGGGGCTGCAGGGAGGGGTGGCAGGCTGTGTCTGTGGGGGCTTGGTTCCAGGAGTGGTGGCCGTGCTGGAGGACAAAGGGTGAGTGGCTATCTTCTGGCAGTGGCCCATGTGTGCTGGGGATCATACTGAGTGAGCTTTGCTCCGACATAGTTGAGATTTTTGGTACAGCCTTGGCAGAAATGAGAAGAAACCTTTTCCGTAACCATAGAGCAGCTTCAGTTTATGAAACAGGAGATGCCCCGTTTCATAAATGGGAGATGAGTGCTGCAGAAGGTCTCCTGACCTCACTGAAACACTAATTTTCCAAACAGCTTCTTTGCATTTGCACATATGCAGCAAACATGACAGCAGTTGTTCTTGTCCCCACCCTGTGGAAATCAGATCGGGTTTTACTCAACACTATGATGAGTCAAAGCACTTCCAGATCGCAGCCCTCGGCTGAGGGGCCACGTGCTGGCGGTCTGCACGGCGATGGGTCTCTTTCTGCCGATGCAGGATTAGACTCTCTGTTCCTGTGCCCTTTGTAACTCTCTGGTGGTCTGCCATCAAATCCATAATCCCTTAAAAGACTACTCCGTTCATGGTATAGCAGAAGACACACTAGTAAAAATAATCTAAAAAGTTAGTGGTAATAATGAGATTGCTAATGAAATATAATTAATCTATGCAAGCTTGACTGGGATTACAAGAAATTTTTGAAAGTGTTATATTTTAAGCAATAATTTAAATTAGGACACCCTTGTTAGGGTGTCTCAGCATTGTTTGTATGACTGGCTTTTCTTACTCATAACTACTAAATCGATACTAAATGCCCTTCTACTGTAAATAATTGGAGTGCTTTGAGGAATACTAACTGATTGCAAATTAAGAGGGAAGTAGTCTTTGCAGTTCTTCATGGAAGCAGGGGCAATCCACTGAATTGTACTTAAAAGGAATCTGTACCATGAGGAGTGTCCCAGCTTTCAAGATTTTTGAACGAGTAGTGTGGTTTTTTTCATTTCTTTCCAGAAAACTTAAATTTTGTTCATTTAGCTGGAAGTTTAGCCATGAACACCCATGGTTCCTGCCTGTGTGCTTTCCCCACACTTACCAAATGTTAAAACCAGAAGTGTTTATGGAGTATTGCTGCTCTGAGGAGCCCTGGGAAACCTCCAGTGGTGACAACCCCAGTGACTGTCCCACCTCAGGGCTGGAGGTTGCCAGCTCCCAAGGAAGGCCAATGGAAGGGAAAAAACATACCTGCTCTCCAGCTGCTCCAGCTCACAGCCGAAACCACAGGCGAAGGTGGATCTGTGCTGATGTGCCAGGCAGGGATTTGGAGTGGCCGAGGCACGTGCGTGTCCCGCCTTGCATCCCTGGTCACGGGTAGCTGCTCTCGTGTGGGGCAAGGCAGCATCTGCCACCTGAAGCAGCTTGAGCAGATGACTTGTCAGGACCGGCAGTGCACACGAGCTAGCAGCTGTCGATTGGAAAGATCTTCCAAACAAGCCCTTTTGAATTGCTAATAGGTAAATGGTAGCTGTTAACTGCCTTTGATATTTCTTCATGCAGCCTGAGTGCTCTTTGATATTTCTTCACATAGCTTGTCTGCTTATTTCCCGAAATCTGGGAAGACAAGCCTGAAAAAGTAACTCACGTGTTTTCAGTAGTCACAGACAAGATTATGAAGCTGTTCTTGGGCACCTTCTCCCTGAATATCTTAGTTTTGCCTGAGTGGAGACTTACTAAAGACTTCACTAGAAGCATAAAGATTTGATAATTTAAAGCTCAATTGGTGTTGCAAGGCTACGCTCTGATCGTAGTAACACGAGCTGCAAATGTTCTAATGATGAATTCTTTCTACATCCTTTTCCAAAAGAGGGCAGTAAGTAGCAGTGTAATTAAAGCAACATTTGTTTAAACAAATGGAATTTTGCCTAGAAGTAAACAAAATAGCATTAGCATTAATATTAAAGTCTGATCTGTGCTGGAATTACTGGGGTTGATCACCCATGTAAACTGGATTAGAGTTTGGCCCTTGTTTCCCTGCAGCTGAGTAATATTTGGTCTGGTTCTCTTTCACGCAACTCCAGCAATGTGAAAAGAGCCCCAAAATAAGAGTAAGTTGCATTTATTTGTATTTTAAACTTCTTTACATTGACAGATTTGTTAGTAGTAATGAGAACCAGTGTTTGTTTTTTCCCTGTTGTCAGCCTCGTTCAGTCTTTTCCATACTACTTTAAAAATGTTCTTGATTTACGTCTCTTTCTCAGCAAGGTGAGGAGAAGCTGTAAACCCTGAGAATACAAAGTACCACCATAAATGTGTCAGAAAGTAGTTGTTGAAAGAGTGCTGTTTCTTTTGTTTTTCTGAAGAAATGGAAATTTTAAGCTCTGCTAAGGTCACAAGTTGATACCAGATGTACTTCTTGGCTTTGGCATGAGACTCAAGTACAAATACTTAAAAGAAACAAAAACCACCTCCATTACAGTCACATGAAGGCTGTAATCATGAACCAAAACATGACATTTTCATATGTTAACTTATTAGCTACTGGAAATGTATATGCCCTTTTCCAAAGAGGAATTTGCAAGGGGGGGAGGGAGGGTTGATCCCATTTATGCTCTGTGGCCCTGATCAGTGAGTGCGGGGACTTAGCTGCTGCCTACGCAAGGGGGTATTTTTATGCACGTGCTTGCATGATGGAGCACTGCATTCTGTTTTGTGAGCAGCTGATGTTAATGATTAAGGGGTTTGTCCAAAACCAAATTAATTAGGAGAAGAAAAATAAAAATTCATTGGGTTTGGGTTAAGCTTTTGGTAGCAGGTGGTAGACATTATTTTCTTGCTGATGTCATTAGTTAAATTTATCTGTAAGAAATTGAGAAGGAATGAAGGAGTGACTTCTGCAGAACTCTTAAAGGCAGGCACTGGCTTGAAAAGACTCCTGTCTCACACTTAAATAACGTTTCGCGAACAGATAATGTTATTTGCTTGCCAGCTCCAAAGCTGGGTATTGCACAATACTCAGGCACCTACAGTGTCATTGGGAAAAGCTTCCAATGCCTGAGTTAGGGAGAAACTGCACCTAAACAGTCCCTGCACATGTGCCCCAGCCCTGTGAGACCCTGAAGCTTCAGGGAGAGCCGCCCATGGCCGCACCGCTGGACACACTCAGGCCATATCTTGGCCGAGCTGGTGGCCTACGTACTCCTCTCCTGCCAAAAGCCCTTTAGGGATTGGGAAGATGCCAGTGTCTAACGCCTGAGGACCTCAACGTGTGAAGCATGGCTCGAGCCGTGCCGCAGACTGTGAAAGCAGTGCTGTTACTCCCACCCACCGTGTTGTAGAGTTAACCTGTTAGTCTGAGCGTCTGCTTACCACCTAATGTCAGGGGAGCTGCTGCAGTGAGGAGGGGGTTCCTCCAGCGAGTAGGTGTGGAGGTGATCCAGCGTCTATGCGTCCCACTTCTGAAACCAGATGCTTAACGATACACGTGTATGAAGAAAAAGGGATATCCTTCCAAGGATACATACCACCTCAATTAGAGATTCAAATCAGGCAGAGGCGTGTACACTGGGAGATTATTAGAAGACAGAGTGTAATTATGGTTTTCTTCAGTGTTTTAGTACTGGGATGGCGATCATGTTTTTGCAGATCTCGTTAGTGTCCTGTTGCTCAGAGTGCATTTTTCCTTCCCAGGGGATCTCCTGTTGGCCGTGTGGTGGCTTGGAGCTTGCTCTGACTCCCCACCACAGTCGTGTGTTCCTGTTGAAAGCTGAGGATGTATTTGAATGTTTCCCCTTAATCATGCGTGCAATATCTGACTGCTTGTTGCGGTTTATGCTCCAGAACAGGTTAATTTTCCAAACCCAGCATTTATTTTTAGAAAAATACTTGTTTTTTAAAAGCACCTGAAAAATTAAGTGTGGAATATGATTAAGTGTGGAATATGTAATTTGTGTGCAGTGGGATAGGTGTGGTTGTCCTCTCTACATCCAACGCTTTCGCTTTCCTTTATTGCACGTACAGTTAATTACCAACATGGCATCTAAGCCTTAGATAAAAAAGCTGCATAGCCCTAACACATGATGCTGTTGTAATGATGGCTGTTGTTGTTCTTGACAGAATCCCTAAATGGATCTTGGAAAGAAGGAGGATTTGTGCCTTCTAGTACCAGCAGCAGTGGATACTGGAGCTGGAACGCTCCCAGTGACCAGTCCAACCCATCCACCCCATCTCCACCTCTGTCAGCTGATAGCTTCAAAGCTTTTCGGACACCTTCCCAGCCAGATGATGGTATTGATGAAGCTGAAACAAGCAACCTTCTCTTTGATGAACCCATTCCTAGGAAGAGGAAGGTTAGCCTCTTGTTAAATTCCATACCCATGGGCAGACAGGATGTTGGTAGACTTACTTTGCTGTAAGAAAGGAACAGGCCACCAAAACAGCTCTGCATGTGTATCCCTCCTTGGCATCCAGTTAACGTAGGTACTTGGCCTAGTCGCTATGTCTCATTCAACCTAGTCACCTACTGCACACACATGCTGCCATCAGCACCACATATTTGCTGGCAGATGGTGAGGTTCTACAGAGCCTCCTGCTCAGAAAACACTAGAGTGATTTCCAGAAGGTGTTGCCTCTGGCCATTCAAGGGATTTCTATCCTACTTTGGCAAATTCTTTGTATGCAGGATGCAACAGGCAGCCTTTACATGTCATCGCAAAAACTAGATATGGCCTTAATACTTCTTGTTCCCTGAAAGTGCTGTTTGTCTGACAGCATGTCAGATACCTTAATACTGTGAAGCTTTCTCTGCGCAAACATATGGAGTGAAAAGAGGAGAGAGAGATCAAATCTGATGGCTTTTGATACAGTATTAGCAGTGGCCAAATTTATCCTCAGTAGGAGTGCAAAAGCAGACTAAAAAAACCACAGTGTTAAAAAAAAAAGTAGAAAACTAACCCCAAAAAAGCACTGTTATGCTAGCAAGCAAGCTCCTCTCGAAGAAAAAGAAAACAAAGAGATGGCACTAGTCCCAAGTTTCCTTCCCTCCCAACACAACAGGACAGATTTTACATAGCGAGATGAAAAAGGGCTTTTTGTAAGAAGAAAAACCAGAGAATTTATTCTCCTTAGTGACTTTGTTTCTGGCTCAGTCTGAGACAGTTAATTGCTTCATCACCAGCAGGAAGAAGTTTTAATGATCGTTTAAACCTGTTCAGATTTATCCCTTTGCTCCAGAAGTTGCTTATTTGCCGATCCACACTGTTCTGCCCTTGTTTGTGGGAGAGGGGTGTAAAATGTTTGTGCTTCTTGCTAAAAAGGAAAAAAAAAATATTTTGGAGGACACCTTTGTTATAATAAATTAGAAGTTAGAGCTGACTGTTAAAGACAGAGATGCTTTTGGAGGGTGTGGGACAGGAGAAGTAGGAATGCAGAAGTACGCTGGTTTGCCTTTTACTTCTCAGTTAAAGTTTGGCTTATTAGCATCACTCTTATTGCTCAGCTGTGATGAGACAGATGGGTTTGCAGCTGCCATCTTTATTGTTATCTAAGTTGTCTTCAAATATTTCCATTTATGTACCTACCACAGATCTATTACACTACCTGTTCTGGTTCACAGGGATTTTGCTCTGTATGGCAAATGTTTAATGTAGCTAAACAATAACATTACCTGCCAAACTTTGTTTTGTAAATGAACTGTGTTTCCTACATTTTTTTTATTCTGGTCCCAGCCTGGTACTTCATCTGAGTACAGCTTCGCACCTTTGGAAGCTGAAATAAAAATGTTCAGGTTATATCTTCTTCAGGGCTGCAAAAATCAGAAGGAATAAACCTGGAAATAAAGTGATCAGTAACCTTACTTTTACTCGCTAAAATTTCTTCCATTTCATGTTTGGAAAATGTCATGTTAGCAACCACTTCCCATTAAGAAAGTTGCTTGCTTAAAAGTTTCCACTAATGTAGTTATTCTTCACCAAACCATTTATGTTCCATTATTTTCTTAAATAAAACATTAAGCCTGAATAGGCAATTTTTTGACTAGTCAGAAATGGAAGCATGGTTCATGTTCTGTATTTCTACTGAGTGAGATTTCATTTGGTTACGTTAAAATGCATGGGTTTCTGCAGAGTCCTAGCATTGCCAATAAAGCTAAAAACACAGTGGAGCTAGGAGATTGGTTTTACCATCAAACTGGAGATGGATGTTAAATCATTCTGTGTTCATAAAGATGCATATGGTGTTCATGATGTCATATCAGAATTCCTAAGGTGTAAATGATAAGCGTGGTCTTCGTCTTGTCGCCATGGTTGGTGGTTGGCTGTGTGGTTTTGAGCTGATGATAGTATTTAGTATTATATTATAAAAGTAAGAAGTGTATCTATCAGAATTGCTAGATAGGCTACATTTAATTTTAGGAAAAAAGAGTTCTGTATCTATTTGAATGGTAGTTGTATTATCAGATCAAAAACTTATAGAGGGAATTTATGTGCAATTTATTGCAAAGTAGAAAGTTTTCATGCGAACAGTATGACCAGGTACCTCAAATCTTAAAGCCCTTAGCATCCGTACTTTCAAACAGGAGATGTTAGACTGCCAAGTAACTATGAGAATATGCTACCTCAAGCAACTTGTATTTTAAAAAGCCCATCAGCTGACATTTTAAAAAATTACATTCTAATCATTGTCTTTCTAGCAAATGCTGAAACTTAGCATCTACTGGCATGCAGTTCCAAAGGGTCCAAATTGAAGAAAGCACCAAGTCAGCTTCTGTTCAAGACACAGCGAAGCATGTACTTAACTCTAAGTATATGCTTGTTCCCTTTTTTTTTAATCAAGCTCTATATGAATATACTCATTTAATCTTACATGCAACTAAAATTATAGGATAATAATACAGTATTTTGAAGCTCTTCCTCATGTTTTCTTTAATAATGTGTTCTGTAATAATAGAGAAAATGATTTTTTGATAAGCATAAATTATTTAGATCTTTTTTATTTAAAATTTATATAGGGGTTTCATTTGGGGGGTAAAATTAGCTTTTAAGAAAATCTATACAGTTCTTAACATGTGTTGTTTGTTATGACATACTGTGCTTTAAATTAAGACTAGTTTTGTCCAGAATCTTCAAAATATTGAAGATTGGGCTGGTTATAGCCTTGTTGGCTGTGCTCTAAATCAATGATAACTCAGTTTAAGCCAGTGAAGTTATATTAAAGAGTATAACAAGAATAGTAAAATGAGATTATACACATGTCCTTTTAAAAATGTTGAACACGGCCAGATGGCTTCTCATTCTCTTGTCCAAGTATGGGTCGCAGCAGCTTCTGAATGAAATAAAAGCAGGTTTTGCCAGCTCATGGGTGAATATTGTCATTGCAGAAGCTACGGTTTTCTGGCACAGTGTTCTTTCTGTGTTGCAAAATTCATGAGCAGAAATATTCATAAGGGCTTGCTTTAGGAAGACCTTAATTTAAGAAGATGCCTTGCATTGAGAAGTCCTCATCAGTTGTTCTTTGAAAGGCTCCAAAGAAGTGTAGAAAGTTTTTGTATCATCTACCTCCTTTAGCATTGAGACAGAAACTGGAACTTGCAAATGAAAAAGCCATGCCAAAGAGTGGAGAGAGGTAAAGTTTTGGCACAGGCTGCTCCTGTGGCTTTTCACTGGGATTCTGTTGAGTTCAGTAGGATGATACTGTTGACAGAGACTATTACATCATTACAGAGTTACAGGCTCTGAACCTTCACAGTGTTTTGTATCTGGCTTGGGTGGTTTGGTTTTTCTTTCTATCTTTCATGCAACTAATGTTGCTTTACTCATCATTTCCAGAACTCCATGAAGGTGATGTTCAAATGCCTGTGGAAAAACTGTGGGAAGGTACTGAGCACAGCTGCAGGGATTCAGAAACACATACGGACCATTCACCTTGGGTAAGAGAGCAGTCTCTTCAGAAGTCTAAACGATTTGGTATCGAAGGGTACCAGTCGCAGCTGGCCAGGGAGGTGAACTGGCTTGTCCGTGGCTTTTCTGTCTCAGATCCCTAGGTTTCTGAGGAAATTGCGGAGTAGTGCATCAAGGAGAACAGGATCTTATTCCAACAGCGAGGCACTTTCTTTCCTGAACCTTTGTGAACTTTACTAGAAGGTCAAATACAAGTCTAGGTCATACTGCACTTCCCTAATGGCAGCGCAGCTCAGTGGCATTTTCTTCGTTTGTGGTATCTGCATGTCACGTCCAGGCTGATGCTGTGCAAAAGTCAGCAGGTTTCAGGGTCTTGCATGAATGCTTTCCAGCTTTGTTTCACACCAGATCAGGTGCTTGTGCTAGTTCTGAGTCGAATTAACTCAAAAAACGCCCCCCAAAACCTAAGAAACCTAAGAAAAAGGAACTGAACTGCAATTCCATGTGTATGTTACTTGGTCTAGAAGCAAAAGCAAATGAGTCTTGCATGACACAAGCTTGTTTCAGAGCTTTAGTTTGCAACTGAAATCTCCTGTGCAATTTGTTGAGAGACCTAGCTGTCTCATATATAGTTACAGTGGGAACTCATGGTCTTCACCTCTTAGGTATGTGGAAATACATCTCTGTTGTATAAGTGTGTGTTACCCAGTGCTTAAAAATTAAAGTGACCATGAGGTAGTAGTCTGGCGTGGAGCTCAGGAGAGTCTTGCAAAGGTCATAGTAATTGCAGTTGGGCTTAGGCTCTGAAGAGTGAAGCTATCAGAAACAGAGAAAATCTCTCTCAAAATGCAGTTACGAATGTTGCTTTCTCCTGTATATTATGGGGAAATCCTTTTTGTGGCACAGAAGAGGGAGAAGTAAACAGCAGAACTTCCCTGGAATTTGGAGTTTGTAACTTTGCTGTAGAGAGGGAGTTTTGGTGAGTGACTGACTGCGGTCTGACAGATAGACTCATAGAATCATAGAATCGTTTAGGTTGGAAAAGACCCTTAAGATCATCAAGTCCAACCGTTAACCTAGCACTGCCAAGTCCACCACTAAACCATGTCCCTAAGCATCACATCTACCTGTCTTTTAAATGCCTCCAGGGATGGGGACTCCACCACTTCCCAGGGCAGCCTGTTCCAGTGCCCAATTACCCTTTCGGTGAAGAAATTTTTCCTAATACCCAATCAACCTCCCTTTGCCTCCAGGGATGGGGACTCCACCACTTCCCAGGGCAGCCTGTTCCAGTGCCCAATTACCCTTTCGGTGAAGAAATTTTTCCTAATACCCAATCTAAACCTCCCTTGGTGCAACTTGAGGCCGTTTCCTCTCATCCTATCGCTTGTTACTTGGGAGAAGAGGCCGACCCCCACCTCGCTACAACCTCCTTTCAGGTAGTTGTAGAGAGCAATAAGGTCTCCCCTCAGCCTCCTCTTCTCCAGACTAAACAACCCCAGCTCCCTCAGCCGCTCCTCATAAGACTTGTGCTCTAGGCCCTTCACTTGTGGTAGAGCCTTTCAAACGTGCTGAACCCATGCTCTCTCAACGAGTTCTATTGAGTAAGGTGGCAAGAGGACCACAGGTAGGGGTATATGGGAAAGCAGTCAGGAACTGGCTAGGGGCTGGTTTTGCGGTGCATGCCTGCACCTGAATGCTGGAGAGGCCCAGCATTCAGCCCTGATACGGACATGCAGGCAGGAGGACGCTTACAGCTCTCAGATTTCCCATGTGGAAGATCCAAGGAGAAAATAGGCATGTATGAGCTATGGGTTATGTCTGTATAGCATGTGGATTATGAATGTGCTTAAAATAGTGGTTTGCTTGAGACTTCAAGATAACATGTAGCCTACTGGCAACTACTGCTTTGACTGGGCTGCTTTGCTCCTAGCACTTGTGCTCAAACACGCAGCAGATAGTGCCAGGGGATGCAGGGGCACTTAAGCCTTTTACATCTCCTCCTTCAGTAAGTCTGCATCTACAGACTAGGACCAGAAAGTCCAGCACTAGCAAGCCAGCCCTTACGTGTCCTTTCTCTACCTGTGTTTGAGTGAGTTGCATGGTGAGACTGTTTTCTAGCAGCTTCTTCTGTTATGCCAAGGAATGTTACGGTGAACCATGGCCATAACTATATTTGGTTTAATTAAGTAACCTATGATAAGATTACATATTGTTTGCTATTACATTAGTGAAGTATATCTTGCCCTTGTTTGTTATCTTTACCCGTCCTTCTGTGGCTGCTCTGTCATTTCTGAAGTCAAAGTGCATTGAGATTCTTGTTAACTTCAATAGTTAGGAATGAGAAGCTGATATTTAAGCTGAAGCGTAGAAGTTAAACATCTACTCCAAGGTCAAAGAATTAGGCAAGAATAACACACAGAGAAAAAAAAATCTAATTCATGATTCTTTTCCCTTCACACTAGATGATTTTCTTTTCCTCTCCCCTTCCCTGCAGCCAGAATGCTGATAAAGTATGTAGGGTTGAAACTGGGAATATTAATTTATTGACAGTATGAATATATTTGCTCATGCATCTAGAACTTAAAATTTACCTTGGGGTTCTTGCTTTCATTAAATCAGTCCTTCATTCTTTGTCTTGATACAGACGTGTCGGAGAGTCTGACTACAGCGATGGAGAGGAGGATTTTTACTATACAGAAATCAGGCTCAACACGGACTCAGTAGCTGATGGCTTAAGCAGTCTTTCCCCAGTCTCTCCATCTTTAGCATCTCCTCCTTCCTTTCCCACCCAAGATGCAATCCGTCCTGAAACTTCCTGTGCCAAAACCGAGACTAAATTGATGACACCTCTGAGCCGCTCAGCTCCTACCAACCTCTACCTCGTACACACGGACCATGCTTACCAGGTAACGCTAGCGAGAGTGAACTCCATTGATTACACTAATGTCATTAATGTATAAACAAATGTCAGATCACAATGTTTGGGTTTTAAAAAGCCAAGTCTAGTTTTAACGGGTTGAAAAGTTTTTAGGGCAGCCCAAGGGGTTTTGTCTCATTTAAATATAGATGTCCACTTCTGAGCTAGTTGTTTGTTTGTGCTCCCACCATAGCCAGTGGGAGCCAGTATGCACAGAGGTGCATACTTCAGGTTGAGAAGAGTTGCTCTGTGTGTCCCACTGACTACATCAGTTATTTCTCCACTGACCATAAGGAGGACCCAAGGTGACGTGCTCAGATACGGTCTCCTGCATTGTAAAAATTCTCATTCAGTCAGCCAGCTCCCTCTCAGAGTCTTCATTTCAGCTCTGCTTGTACTGGATGTGTCTGTAGGCAAGTACCCAAGGGATGCCAGAAACAATTCATTTCCTTTATTTGTACAGTGTGAGATGTCAGTTTGCATATGTGAAGTAGAGCAGGAAGAATGAAAGATCATATATGATATCCTCCTGCTCTTAGAGGTAATGCTTTGCAAATGGCAGAAATCCAATCAGATCCAAAACCTGCTGTTCCAAAAACTTCCAACTAAGTTCAGACAGAAAGCATTAATTGTAAAAGTGCACTAAAATTTGACATGTTTTGGTCTGGATACCATATGAGAAAAGACAAATAGCAGCTTTGAAGTAGTGTGGTCCATGACCTGCCTATGCACCAGAGAATTGAACTCTGTTAAATTTATCAGATGCAATAACTTTTGTATACAGCATTGTACAGATGAAACCTTTGTTGTGCGTCTGGAGCAGACCCACTAAAAGGGCAGAGGGAACCACACAGAATTCACAGGCTTGTTTTAGACTCTCGTGCACGGCGGAAAGCATGGGTGGAAGCTTGGCATCTCAGGTGGGAGCTGCATTGGGTAGCACGCCAACCTGGGGGTTGATCAAGCCAGCTAGGAGAAAGACTTTCTTCTCAGTCTAGCTTAAGCCCTGTGAGTGAAGCACTAAGTGTAGGCTGCTGAGAAGAGTCTCGCTTTATTTGGGATTTGCAGTTGTGACACCCTTCCCTGCAATTTGGAGACTCGCATGATCCTTTTTCATAAGCAGCCTTTGAGTAAACTACTTGCCTAAGGAAATCCTAGTTCAGATGTTTCAGCCACTTGAGTTAGATTTGATGTATTCCATGACAAGAGACTACAAGCGTCTGAGCCCCGTCTCCTTTTCAAGTTGCTCTGGTTTCAATACTTCATTTCATCAGTGAGGAGTGACACAGTTCACACCATTCAAGGCATTCTTGTTGGAAGCAGGAGACGGGGTCCCTGCTCCAGCTCATGTTCGGGTTTTCCTTGCACAGGAGGCAGCTTCTGCAGAGCAGGTCAGTGGCATTCTGTGCTGGGGTCCTTCTAGCCCAGCAAGAAGAGCACACTCCGGGAGGCAAGGTGGAGATTCAGCTCTCACCAGCAAGAGGAGGAATTGAGCCCAGCTGTCACTCATAGCATTTAAGCATTCTTGTGACTAATCTGTTGTGTAAAAGCGAATAGAAGAGAAGGTGACAACAGCATCTTTAACACCACCTTATTTCCTGCAGTTTGCTTGCTGGAGTGAGCCATATACAGAATTTCAAAACTTTTTTTACTTCTGATAAAAATATTACCTGTATCAAAACTGAAACAAAGTATAGAATGGGAATGTAGTGATAAAGACAATCTCTCCTATGAATGAAAGCATGAAAGTGGAAATCACTTAATTGGGAGTAGAGGCAAAATTCACAGCTCAAGGAACTCACGTAAGGGAGGCCGAATAATGTTCATTCCAGAATTCCTGTTAAAAAAGGGAAAAAAATAGGGAACCCAAAGCTGGGTCGCAGGAATCCTAAAGACATCTGTTAATTGCCATTTCCTGTATGACTGGAAAATGGCAAATATAATACCTGTAGTAAGGAAGGTGTAAAGGTGAAGTGATCAGACAAGTCCTGACTCTCTTCTCTGATCTGTGCCTATGGATGAGGAAGGATTTAGAAGAATAATTGAAGAAATTGCGGAAAGTACAGAAAATGAGGTGAACTGCAATGGAGGAACCCCAAAGAAAGATTATGCTAGAACAGTCTGACGTCTTCCTTGGACAAGGTACCTTTGTAACAATGGAGAAGCAGTACAGAAGAACAAATCCCTCTAGATTCGAGGAAAGCATTTGATCTTAAAACATATAGGCACTATTTGTTAGGCTAGAGATTAAATTTAGTGTAGGAGAGAGAGATGGGGAGTCCAGGAGAACAGCAATGAGTAATTTTGAAAGGGCTGCTGAATGTTATTAGTGGAGTTGAATGAAAAGCTGTATTTGGGCCTGATCTCATTTTCATTAAATCATTTTGATACTAGACAAATACTATAGTAAACATTGCTGATAACGAACTCAGGGGACGTCAGCAGTAAAGGAATTTGTATATCATGCTCACATGACTGGGTGATCTTAAGAATAATAGGTTTTGGATGCAATTTAATGGCAGAACATGCAAAGTCCTGCACCTTAGGAACTAATGAGATTTTTCTCCTATAAACTGGGGTAGTTAACGAATTACATGAGGAGGAAACCCGTGTTCATTAGTCAAGCACAGAATGACCGTGAGCCAACAACAATAGAGCTGTGAAGGAAAAAAAAAAAAAAAAGTTGTCAGCGTTCTTGGGTAAGAAATACCTAGGAGAGAGGGATTTTTAATGCTGTTGTACAAGACCCCTGGATAACTTCAGCTGAGATCCTCAGTAGAGCTCTGGTCAACCAAGTTCAAGGATGCTGGGCTCCAATTAGAAGCGGTAGAAAGAAGGTGATCAGAGCGAAGATGGAGGGCAGGGAGGACACGGGGGGCCTCTCCAGCCCAGGGACTGACAGCTCGGGTAAAGCAGGGGCAAGGAAAGGATGAGATTGCTGCCTGGGAAGAAAGAGAGAGACAAATATGAGAAGGGAAGAGGACGAGCACATGCTATTTCAGATATAAGGACAGTGTTGGCACAAATAAGTAATTATAAATTATCCATGAATATATTTTGATTGGAAATTAGATGGAGGTCTCTAAGTAAAGTGAGATTAGGGTATAGAAACTCTTCAGTTCGTTGTAATGTTATAGTTGCTTAGCTTATGGAAGAGATTCTCTAAATTGTTAGCCTGGAAAAGGTGACTGTGCTTGATGAGCAAATATGCACGTCTGGGAAACAAGCGAACAAGGTGATTGTCTAAATCTGATCATGTCTGAGGTAGTTATTTAGGCACTGAGAAAAAAGAATTGAGCACAGTAGTATTTTAGGCAACTGCAAATTAGAGCAATTTTAAACTTCCCATACTTCACGTTTGATTATGAAACTAGTGCCTGTACCTGTTAAATTTAGCTACAGAGGAACTACAGGCAGGCTCTTTCAGCACCTCAGATTTCCCTTGCAGGTCTTGTCTGAATACGTGAGCAAGTCGCTGTGCCGACCCCGGCTTTGAGCTGATATCCCAGTGGGATCTCGCTGCCGACCCAGCTGCCTCCAGTTCAGGGTTGTGATGAAGCTGGTACCATCTGGAGTCGCCAAATTTTTCTTGATGCCTTTCAGTGAGGTTTTTAGAGTTTATGGAGCTCAGCGGATGTTTGCTCCGCATGTCTGTGTCGATTCTCTTGGAGCTGTCAGCAGGCTCGGCAGCCCGCAGAGCATAGCTGCCGTAGACAGAGGCATCCAGTGGTCTCGGTTTCTTTTCCTTGGAGAGACTCCAGGGGATTGCTTCAGCACTTGTTTACTCTGAAGATTATCTTTAATAGGGACTATCAGGTTGTAGTTTGTCATCACTCCTCTCTGCCTGGCAGCTCAGGGAAGCACTCTCTTCCCTGAAGCGGTGAGACTACTTCAGCAGCCTCAAACACAAACACTACTTAAATAAGTGTATTGTGTTATTGTCAGGCGCAGGCAACTGTAAGGCAGAAGTAAAAGCTCATTTTTAATAGCAAGTCCTTTGTAAGTTTAAACCAAGGAGCCTTTTTTTGTGGTGAAACCTTGACATTCAAGGGTCAAAGGGAGCCTGTGTTCATGGTGGCTGCTCATGCTCCTGCTAGGCAGGGTAACTGCAAAGGTATGAATTTCCTGATTCTGTAAATTAAATGGGATTTGAAAAGGGGCAGGGGAGAATTCCTGAGGGCCCAGAGCCCAGTGAGAAAACAGGAGGGGAGGCACAGGATGGAAGATGCTCAATGGTCTGAGCTCAGATTATCAGGTATTGCACCCCAGAGCAGCACTGACTATTACAGTCCAGATGCTAAGAGTGTAAGAGTTCAAGGGGCCCAGGGGTCCTTCAAATATTTGCTTTAACTTAGTCTTTTCAGAGCTGGTTTTTGAGTCCCAAGGATGATTTTCAGCTCCTTGTTTTTAATAGGAAAGACTGTTTTAATTGGGATGATTCTTAACAACTTTTATCTGATAAATGAGAAATGGCCAACCCTTACTGTTGATCGTTAACCCTGTTGTCCAAGAAGCCACACCAACCGGTCTTCACTTGTTCAAACCAGCTGCCTTGTTTGTCGCTGTGGAACAGGTGATCATTTGTAATATTTTTTGCTGCTAGCTGGAATTATTTTAAAAGTTATTTGTATATGATGTTTGATTTTGTGTATTTTTTTATCAAATCTGGCTTTTAAGGGTTTTGCGTGGATTCTTGTGAGAGCTATTGTCCCTCTCTAAACAAGGTTTTAAAAACAGTGATATATAAATATGTCCCCTCCTTCCTGGCTTATCCATGATTATCCCTCTCATAAGGGTAAAATGCTTGTCACCATGCATTTTTTTTCCACCTCAGAAGGTCTCTCGTAGATTTACAGTTTCAAGGAGTGAAAGATCCCTTGAAATGCTTTGGAAGAGGAGGGTTCTTCTTACTGGAATAATATTTTCTTTTCACGCAGGCCACTCCTCCGGTGAACATTCCAGGGTCAGCAAAATTCACTCCCAATGGCAGTAGCTTTAGCATCTCTTGGCAGTCGCCTCCAGTTACCTTCACCGGCATTCCAGTAAGTGAACGACTCCAAAAAAAAAAGAAAGAAAGAAAAAATAACAAGTTTTTTACAACTTTTTGTTTTGTTTCACAGTGTCTCACAAGAGAAGTAAATTTGACATGACAGGTACTGAAAAGAAACCAATTAAATATATGCCTCAGTTTGCCAGCATGGCTGATTTTAACACTTTCGCCAGTCTCTTTAATTCAATACAGTTACTTTTTTTTGCATATGTGTCTACAAGCAGAGAATTGGATCTATAGTATATATTTTTTAAACTATATGCTTGCAAAAGAACATTCTGGTAGGTGCAGAGCCTGCCACTATATGCTCCTTTTTGCGCCACTAAGAGATTTCTTACCAAACTACATGGAAAATCAGTGAGGTGATGGTTATGCTAACAAACGGGCTAATTGGATTCAAGCAGTAGGGCTGTTACCTAAATGAACTCTGAAGATGAGGCATGTCTGAAAGGCAACTTAAAGAAACAATAAGATGAAATGCAAAGTCTGATTCTGGTAGGCTACATATATGTAGTCCTTATTGATATCAGAAAATTCTGTACTTTTATACAGAAAATATTTTCAATACATATTGCATTTTTATATTAATACATGTTGCAGTTGACACATTTTTAATGAAGATTTATTAGATGTAAAGTCAACTCTGACCCTTTCTTCAAAAAAGCTACTGTACAAGGCCTAATTTCATGAACAGGACAGCAGAAATGGGATGTTTGCTTAAACATGGACTTCCAGTAGTCCTAAATGTAACGCAGCGTAGGCGTGGATACTGTAGGGGGAGTTTAAAACCTTTATGAAGAGTTCAGTGGGATTAGGCTTCTAGTGCCTAGCATGGTGAATACTAAAAGTAAATGTAAATCACTATTTATGAGTAGTGGAAAATCTTCTGTATAATAAATAGAAATAAATATTAATGTAATGTATCCTGATTTTTATTAGAAAGCATTTTTCAGTATAAATTGATATTCTCTAATCATAAACCTTTTTGATATCATAATATTTCATTTAATATTACACTTTATGAATTTGTGAACTTTTAAAGTGTGTTATATAAGGCACATTGCTCATCCAAAGAACCACATAGCTTTTTTTCTCCTGACAGTGAATATTAGACATGGCGATAAGAGACACTATTTCTCTCCCTTCTCTTCATCAAGTGACTTTCCAAAGCTTCTTACTGTCAACCTTTGGAGATTTTCTGCAGAGGCTGTGGCATCCTGCAGGGCTGATAAAAAATGAAAGTGGCTGAATCAATTACACTGCACTCTGCCAATGAATATTTATTAAATTCCATCAAGGAACAACTAACAGTGAAAGACATCATGCTGGCAGCAATTTGAACAAGAGTGCCTTGACAGAGCGTGCTATCCGTAAAGTTCCTCGAGAATTTGATTTCCCAGCAATGGGGTTGATACAGAGTAATTATGAAACTGGCTCCTTTTGTGGTGTACCAGAAATTGGTGCCAGGAGTGTTGGGAATCTAAAAATGCAATTAGCCACATTGTAAATCAGACACTTAAGAGGACAGGATTAGACACGTATGCGTTGAGTTTACTTGTTCGAGCAACAACGTTGATCTGTGGCTGTAGAGTTGAGAGTTCTCAAAAGAATTTAAGAAATGCCAAATCGTTTTCTGAGAAGTGTATGGAGATGCCAATGATTTAGGTACAATTTAAAAATAATCCCAATACAAAAACCTGGGGAAGCAGCAATGATGGCGGAATTATAAACCCCTCAGGGAACCATATGAACTGCATTTATATCTCTGTCTAACAACATTTATAAGGCTGTTTAGCCAAAAAAAAAACAAACCTTCTAGGTTTGCACACATTTGACTATTCTGTCATCAGTGAGATCATTTATGAATTACAAAGGCTTGCCTGCAGTGGAAAATTACGTGCAGTGAGTGAGGATGCAAATGCAAAGTGATATTAAATAACTGTATATTAAATGAAAGTTTCATTTCTCCGGTTTCAAACTAAATTAGATATTGCCTTGTAAAAACAGGGCTCTGTCAATTCCCACCCTTACACTGAGTGTAACTACTGCAGGAAAGCTATAGTATAGGGGACTTTCTCCTTCTCTTACGAGGTTTATTTAAGCCCAGCCTATGTGACAGAGCCAACATACTACAAACTCATGCAACTGTGTACGTACATGGTCCCTGAGATTAGATGCACATCTGTAGCACCCAAAGGAACTTCAGAGAGTTAAGTCCAAACCATTACTTTTTGCCTGACCCTTAATATTTATTCAAGCCGTTTTCTGAAATGGCTTTGGGATACTTTTTTGGCCTGGACAAACCGCTGAGCAGCAAAGGATTAGGTACAGATTTGCAAAAGTGCGTAGGTCTACACATTTCTTCATGTTACTAGTGGTGTTCTGTCCTTGACCCCTTAGAGGGACAGTTGTCTTCTGTGGGTTTTTTGACACCTACCTTAGATGTTACCCCATTCATTCCTGCAGACATGGAGTTTCGATGACGCTGAGCACTCACTGCTTTCTGTCCTGGGAACTTAGGTGTTCAGACAGACATCATGAATTGCATTTAGTCCTCACTTTTGGGTAGTCTTTAGCAGAGCAGCACCAAAAGGCCTTTGTGAATGTGAGCGTGCTTATCAGCAAGTACCTAAGCACCTCAAAGCAAGCCATACATACAGCTGGATCAGTCGGGGTTCGGTATGCAGCTGCTTTAGGCTCAGGGGTATTTACAGCATGTAGCCATAGACATTTATCTAGAAGTCTTGTAGCTATAAATGAAGAGAATTAGGGGAACCTCCAAAGCCCTTATACTTTGTGCTCTAAATCATATAAGTTAGATTCCCAAGGCAGATGGGAAATACACTTTTTCGTACCATTTTCCCAAGATAACTTTGCAGGTGCAAGAGAAGGTTGAGTGTTGGCACAGCTAAGAGTCGCTGGTAGGTGTGATTCTCTGCATAGAGCAGAAAGGACAAGTTCATGTTTGCTCTACCACTTGAGACTGAACAAGGAGAAAAAATCAGGCACAGCATGGGGATATATGAGGAGGACGAATGAAATGATGCAAGTGGTTCTAGTGGGATGAGCAGTGGTGAAGTCTGTATCTCTGGGTACTGGAGGACTTAACATAATGACCATACAGTTCCACTTTAAGTAACGTAGGATGAAAGTCTTCTCGAACGCCAGTGTGATCTCTGCTATGTGATGTTGATTCTTACCTGCCTGCTCATAAGATCCAAAAAGGTTGAACAGGAGAAGTTTGGTAATCTGATGTTTACAGATCACAAATCTTCTCTGTAACCACAGTTTCCCCCAGGAGCTGTAATTGGAAACTCCAGGTCCTCCCTTCTAACAAACACTATCGTTTCACGTTAATGGTCTGCATAGACAACACTTCAAATGTGAAAAGCCTCCGAGGGCAAGGATTGCCTTCTCACGCCCTCCTCTTGATCTGCACTCAGTGTCGCCTACAGAGGAGTACAGCTAACTGGTATTGTTTAGACCTGCTGCAAAGCGTATCCAAATACACTTAAAGCTCAGCTTTCAGAGAGAGACCCTCTCTGGAGAATGTGAGGGGAGACGCAGTCTGCACGCTGCAGTTACTACTCAAGCCTGTTCTGTGTTTGGAAGCAAGCAGAATAATTGCTTATAACACAGGAGGCCATCAAAGTACTTTTCTGTTCAGTGATAACCAAGGAATATGTTGAGTATCGGTTAGGAGTGGTAGATATCCAAATTTTCTGGCTTTTAAAATGTTTAAGAACCGAGCAGAATTGACTGGGGATCTCTGGTTGCTGGTAATGACTGAAAAACCATGCAGTGTGTGGTAAATGCCAAAGACTAGAAAAGTGTTATTGCTTTGCATTTTATCTTCAGTGTTTCAGTCATTCTTAGGTAAAACAAGAGAAGTGGTTGATGAAAGATAGGAAAAAAGGTGAATCAGCATGATCTTACGTGGCAGGGTTTGCCAAACAAACCTCATACCAGTCTTTAAGGATATGACGGGTTTGGTGGATAAAGGCAACTGAACATGTCTAACGTATATTTCAAAAAGCAGCAGGTTTCTTAACTGAAAATATGGAGTGCCAACCCAGCACATATTAAGCAAATTAAGATCTGTCTGTCAGACCTCAAGTAGCAGCAGTTAACTGGGAATCTTCTTTACTGAGCCAGCGTCACCTCCATACGAGGACTGGTGCTTTTCAGCATTTGCGTCATTGATTTGGAAATAAAAATACGAAGTTACTGCTGATGATCCATGTTCCGGATGGCCGAGAGACTTGACAAAAAGACAGGATAATCATGTATCATTGTATACTCCGTTTGTGAAGTGGGGCCCTTTGCAGACCCAGTGTCCTTTAATTGTGCAAAATGCAAGGTTGTATTGATGAAACAAGGGAATTTGGATAATCCCTGGCATCTCAGGAGAGCACTGACTTTGAAAGTAAAGACTGCAAAAGATCTAGGACATGCAGACTGCAAGCTGCCCTCAGTATCGAGGAGTGACAGGACAGAAGGAGCTAGTGTGGTCTCTGGATGTATAAAACACGAGTTCTGGTAAACAGGCACAGAGAGAGGAAATGTCTTTCACATTTTGGATATATAAAATATATCAGTAATGGCCTAAACGCATTCAGGGTGTGAGCTGCACATGCAGTTAAGTCAGAAATTACTGTAGTTACCAGCCAAGAGTAAAAGTTGAAAGAGCGTCTGCACTCCATTATAAGTACTATATTTTTG